AGCTAAAAGCTAAATATGTCAAAAGCCTAGCTAAAAACTAAATGTAGATAAAAGCTAAATATATCAAAAGGCTAGCTAAAAAGTAAATGTAACAAAAGGCTATAAAAGCAAAATATATCAAAAGCCTAGCTAAAATCTAAATGTAGCTAAAATCTAAATATATAAAAAAGCTAGCTAAAAAGTAAATGTAACAAAAGGCTATAAAAGTGGCAAAACAGTAGCTAAAATGTTAAGGTATCATAACAAGTAAAATGTCAAAGTAAAAAATAAAAGGCTAGCTAAAAGCAGCAGAAGACAAGTTAAATTTTAAAATGAGCAAAAGATTATCTGAGCGAAGGAAAAAAAGCTAAAAGCAAAAGTAACAAATCTACCTTAAAGCTAAAAGTAAAGCTTTTTTTGATTAAAAGGGTTAGCTGGAAACTAAAAGCAGAAAAAATTGGCTAAAAGTTAAAACAACAAAAGGCTAGCTAGACTAAAAGTAGCAGGGCAGCAGCTAAAAGCTAAAAGTAGCACAAGAATACAAAAATAGAGCATGTACTCTAAAGCAGAGTTCATAGAGTATGTAAAGGAATTAAAATGCTATCAATGCATCTTCATGAGGAAAATACTTGTAAATAAAAAGGTAAATAGTTTGAAAAGTATAAAAGTCACAAAGTCCCAGCACCCATGAGATGAATGAGCTAAATGGCTTGTTAAACAGATGACTAAAATAGCACAAAGTAGATTAAAGTAGATAAAAACTTACAAAAATTAGAAAAAGTGTGAATGCTGAGTCAGCATTTTGTACACCGGGCATCCAAAAATGATTTATGAATGAGCGTTTCTTTGAATTTGTTCATTTAAAGTTACAACATTTTTAGATTGTGTGAACAGTGTGCACGCTCCTGTTGTTTACCAAGAAGAACTCACCACATCACCTGCGCTCAAAGAATGAAAAACCCACCGAAAGCTACGTCTCTGCTTTTATACTAATACATGTAGCTTCATTTGACTCACAGGAAACCACATGCTAATAATTACCAAGAATTTTTAAAAGTACAAACTCTTTAACGCATCAGAACTTAAACTTGTGATTTGAGAAACCACAAATTACTTGTTAAAATTCACACCGAATTACAAAATCAACCATGAAAATGTATAGCTCTTATAGATTAAAGCAAATAAAAACGGAACAAATCCTAAATTCTGATGACGCACGAGAGACAAATGTATTAAACAACAAATATCTGATCAGTCGTCTGTTCATGAGCACAAAACTCTGTCCAAATCACACCAGAGGAAACAGTTAGTTTGAACTTCTGCGTCGAACAGGAAGTGCCGACGAGCTGCAGGAAGTCTCGTTCACCTGACGGAGGTTAAACAAACTGCTCTAGATGTTCGAGCACAGGGCCTCAGTTAAAGCGCTGCAGGTTTCTGTACCTTTGAGCGTGGCCTTCTTCAGGACCTTCATGGCGTACAGCTGGTTATCATCAGGCGGGGTCACCTTCCGCACAAGGAACACCTGCAGAACAAACGGTGTTAGAGAATATTGCATGTTAAAGTGATGAGCGTACAGCGTGTGCGGTACCTTGCCAAATGATCCCTGTCCCAAAACTTTGAGCAGCTCAAACTGAGAGGCGTCGGCTTTCTCCGAGCCCTCTTTGACCACATGGGTGATGTTGATCTCCTTGATGTCTCCATCTTCCTAAAGAGCGAGCAGAAGCAATTCGTCACGTTATAAATCATGATCACACAATCTTACATTAGGCAGATCGGCAAATAGACGTGTGTGTGTGTGTGTGTAAACGGCACTATATCAAAATAAAGCTCCCGAGAAAGAGGAAGCGAGGTGAAAAGAGAAACACACAAGAAGGAGAAATGACACCCGGTGGGTTCTCATAAACGAGCTGCAGCGTTAGATGGAACTGATAACAGTAAACTACCAGTGAAGTCTTCAAACAGGGAGCGGTTGTCGTTTGCATTTGGACACCAGCTGTTAAAAGCACAAGTTAGACTTCTTGATCAAGGACCTCAAAGAGAAGTTTGCAGGTTTAGGTGGAGTACCGCTGGTACTACGGAGAACATAAGAAAAAAGTCAAAAGACTCGACAGAAGTTTAAAAGTCAGACACACCAGACCATTTCTTTTCCAGTCGCATGAGCTCAAGCATTCCTTGAAGGAACGTACCGACTGCCACCAGCTTTAAACTCGAGGGATCGGAGGAGTCTTTCGAGATGCTTTAAAGCTCAGAGCAGTGGTCCCCAATCCCCAGGCCAGTTGGTACCGGGCCGCACAAAAAGAATACAGAACTTGCATTATTTCTGTTGGATTTAGCATCAGATTCTGAACAAGGCTTTATTTTGAAAAAATACTGGATTCTCCCCACTACATCCGTCGATGACTCACTCTGGACGCAGGTCAAGATGCTGGGCTCGGTCACACGGCTACCTTCTTAAAGGGGCAGCGCTTAATTGAAAATGAACAAAAAAACATGTTCGGAACGTTTCTTTCTGCGACACAGTCGCCAACAAACCAGGGGAATCCAGCGTGTCTATGCAGAAGATCAACTGCGGGACATCACAAATGATGGTGGCCCTAAAAGTAGGCCTGTCACGATAACACATTTTGCTGGGCGATTAAGTGTCTCAGAAATTATTGCGATAAACGATAATATTGTTTGAAATTTGACAATAATTAGTCATTATTGTCAAATTTAAGAAGAAATGTTGGTTAATTTTTGCGTGTAGTACCTTTTTTGACCACCGGATGGCAGTATAAGACTGTTTGAACAGAAGGATGGATAGTGAGGGAAAGAGCAGCGTGTCTCTAAGAAAAATGGGAGGGAGGCCCATTGATGTGAGATGGGCTGTCTCTCCTTCATTTTTGAGAAAAGATGGAGGTTTTTTTTCCCCGAGGTCGGCCTGTTAGCTCAGCTCGTAGCTTAGCTGCTTTTAACAATCCAAAAATGTGATTTTGGATTGTTCAAACAGATTTTAAAGAGAAAGGGAGAGGTCAGTGAAGAGCACCGGAGTTGAGCCTTTTGTTCATCCAGTGTCTTCAGTAGAAAGAGAGACACAAAGAAACGATAAAGCCAATAAATGAAAATGAGGTAGATAATTTTCATTTATCATGTGATTAATTAATTTATTGTTTACTTGTGTGATTAGCCATCACATGTGATATGTTGCAAAAAACTGTTGCACCAAATATGAGCTCAACATTTATAAAAAATAGCTGAGTTTAAGAATGGTGAGGTCTCTAAGCTTTGGTGGCCATCCTGAGCGAGGTTAAAATCACTGGTTCGTGAGATTACTAACACAGAGACAGGCAAAAACACGATCACCTGTCAGGTGATGCCTTTGAAGGCAGTATTTTATGTCAAGTCAGATTTATTTATAGAGCACATTTAAAACAGAAACTGTTACCAAAGTGCTAATGTTCAACAGAGTGGATGGAATAAAAAACATTTTCTGATCCGTCTGTGGGGTTTACAGACAAAAATAAGGATTAAAATTGGAGCTAAAGCAGAACTGGTTAATCATTACTGAAAAAGGAAATGCCTACTTCCAAAACCAACTCATAAATCTGAAATTATAACCGTTCACAAAAAAGTCAACAAGGATCCCTTTTATGGAGGATGGAATGTGACAATATGAAATAAATAAGTACATAATACAAGCATAACTATTAAATGTATAATTTAATTATGAAATACACCATTACATAATTAAATGTACCTTTTAAATTATTTATTTCATGATTTATTTAATTTTGTCACCTTTCGTCCTCCAGTGGAATAATGAAATTATGTTAACTGTCAGTCTCACTCGTCAAAATCAGTGGGCGGGACTAGAGCGGCTTGTGAACAGACCCTGACGTCTGATTGGCTGCTCCTCACAGCAAGTGAAGACAAATCAAGCACAGATAATGGATTGATCCACTGGCAAGAAAATATACTCCAAAACTTTAGGAAGTGGTAATTGTGTTTACGTGTATTTGGATGAGCTTGGCTTAAAATATCTAACCAGTGCACGACAGAGCAAATTAAGGTCCTGCATGGCGGGAGCTGCCATGTATGAACTAAATTCAGACCAAAGCAATGGATTTCACATGATCAGTGCTAGTCCCACCCACTGAGTTTGACAAGTGAGACAGACAGTTCTCATTTCATGGTGACACACAAGGGTGGAATGTGACAAAATTAAATAAATAAATAAATCATGATATAAATAATTTAATTTTATTGTATATTTAATAATTTAATTATGTACTTAATAATTTAATTGTGTATTTAATAATTTTTATATATTTAATTGTGCATTTAATAATTTAATTGTATATTTAATTGTGTATTTAATAATTTTATTGTATATTTAATTGTGCATTTAATAATTTAATTGTATATTTAATTGTGCATTTCATAATTTATGTATTTCGTAATTTAATTGTGTATTTAATAATTTAATTGTATATTTAATTGTGTATTTAATCATTTAATTGTATATTTAATTACATATTTCATAATTTAATTGTGTATTTAATTATGTATTTCACAATTTAATTGTGTATTTAATGACATATTTCATAATTTAACAGTGTATTTAATAATTTAATTGTATATTTATTAATTTAGTTGTATATTTAATTGTGTATTTAATTGTGTAGTTCATAATTTCTTTGTGTATTTAATGATTTAATGGTGTATTTAATATTTAAATGATACATTTCATTATTATGTATTTATTTATTTCATTTTGTCACATTCCGTCCTCCATACCCTTCAGGCCCTGACGAGGAATTTGCGACAACTTTTATTGTCTTTGCTTTATAAATCAAATGTAGTTCTGTCAGGTCATCCACAAACAACACGCCCAAAACACGGTTTCAAAGTGCATTAATATGATTAAAAAACAAGAAACGATGCATTCAAACGTGTTTGATTTTAACCGTTAACAGCCACAGCCTGAAGTGTGTCCGACAACAGGAAACTTGTTGTTTCTGATCAACAGCGCCACAAAGCATCGCCTGCCGTGTTAACACATCTACTCTCTCTGCGTGTCAGCTGGAAGAAATGTGCCGAGCAGCTCAAAACGTCAACAGAGGAGGCATGTTGAGACACGTTACCGTCCAGTGGTTCCTCGGTTCAGCTGAGGCGTCTGCAGCTGTGCAGCTGTCACACTGAGCGGGACTCCCTGTCAGGGCTTTGCTCTTCCTGAACAGGTAAAGGGACAGCATGCGCCTCAGCTTGAACGTTGTCTTCTCCTTCTCCATCTCAGCATTTTCCAGGCCGTTTTAAGATCCTACCCTCATCCGTAACAAGGCGAGGACTCGACAAAAAGTCACCTCAAACGTCCCCTCCTCTCAGCGCGAGCACGCCTCAGACTGATCCGTGCACTCATGTCAGGGTTTGTTCTGCAGGTGAACATGAACTATTATCTGAGCCTCGGGGTTTTATCTTTGTTCCTCCAGCAGGCTTCTTCTGGCATCATTTTAAAACTTCTCCATGTCCTCTCCCAGTCCCATCCTCCTCTTGTTTGTCTGATCAGACCTGCGTCCTTCAGTGAAATGAGCTGCAGCTGAAGGGAGCAGGAAGGAAGAGCCTGCCCTCGTTCTCACCGTCCTGAAACCCAACCAGCGGAGCACAAACACACGTGTGGCTGACACAGAGAAGAGTAGAAGAGAAAGATCTCACCAGGAACAAAAACAAGAGGAGGGGAACTCTGGGGAGGGCTTTCCTCAAAATGATGCGTACCACTGCCGCTTTTTGTACAATATTGTGAGACCTCACGGATTCTTGTGTTTTGTGCAGGACTCTCATCTACTACCACACCAAATTATCTGCAACACTGACAGAGTTAAAGCCATTTTTGTGATTTTTTTTTTATAAAACCAAAAAGAAAAAACAGATGAAGTTTGGGAATAAGGTCTATTCAAGATTGCCACATTGACCTTGGCAAACACAAAAAATGGCGTTACTGCAGTTGGATGTAGCAGTAGCTGAGCATCCTCCTCACTCAGGTTTTAGATTAAAGTGTGGAATGAAAGGTGATGAGGATGCGCATCCCCTTCTTTGATTTTCTTGACTGGAAGAGCAAAAGTCCAGAGGACAGAGCGACACCAGGATGTGTGCAGAAGTTTAAAAGCAGCAGAAAGCTGTGGCTGCACTGAGGGAGGAGCTGCATGCTCGATGCAAAGCTGCAAGTGGTGGGGGTGGGTGGGGGGGGGGCTTACCTGCTCTCTACAACGAGCAAAATCCTTCTCTATCCAGGTGATGCGAGACTTGGTCTGCAGGAGGCAATTTAACGCAGCATAAGTCATCAACAGTGACGGTTTAATGCATTCATTTATAGATGCGCTGACCAGAAACGCTTCGTGCACAGCACGCACGTGGACGTGTGAGTAAAAGTGTCACGAGGACACCAGTAACAGGAAACTTCTCTTCCCTCCCAGTTCTTCGCTTCCTCTTTTTTTCAGCCGACCTCACTTCCTTCCTGCTCGGTAACTCCACCACGCTACCGCTGAGTTTCCCGGTAAAACGGCTACGATTTTTTTTCCCCAAGTCGGTGAATGTTCAGCTTAACAACGTGTCAAACTGTTCGCACGCCAAACCGAAGCGCGCGTCCGAAAGTTTACCGGGAACATTTTGCGTTGGATGGCGGGAGTTTTGATCATTTTGAGTCTACCGTCATACTTAAAAGATTTATGTTTCTTACATCCGGGCTGCGCTCCATGACTGAAAGCTGACATTTTATGATGATTTAATTTCACAGCTCAAAGGCTGGCAACACACACACTTAAATATATCACCACAGACACACAGCTGCATGAAGCTTTGAATAACTTCCCAGTCCTAAACAAAGCCATCGCCACCCACACACTTTACATTAAGTTGCACACATGCGCATACATAAAAAGAAAACAGCATCAACTCGCCTCTGGTGTGTGCGTTTTGGTGCGGAACATGAACCTCCACATGTCTCGGCCCAGATGTTTCCATCACTGCTGACGCTCAACCGTCTTACAAGCACACAGCGTCCGTGTCAGTTAGCTAACGTCTCTGTATGCAATACCACAAGAGATCAAATCTGCTCACACACACTCGCACGCTAAAATGGGAAGTTGTAAAAATGAGTCAAAAGCAGCAGACTGACTTGTTGGGGACGGCGTGAGACGAAGAGGACCGGCAGCAGCAAGAGATGAGCCCCATCACAAAAATGTTCAGGACCCAGGAGGGAAACGTTTCCAACACATGAAAATAAATACTTTTCATCCTAATGAATTCTGTACTAGAAGCTCACAGAGAAAAGGAGGAAACACCTGCACCTCTCGTCTGACGCACAAAGGCAGAACAGCAGCTGAGTAAACTTACACAAACAAGAAAAGTCTCTAACTCAGATAGTTTTACAGATATGAACAAGATTTCTTATTTTTACGCAATACGACGACGCACGAGGGCTCAGTGGTTAGCACTGTTGCCTCACAACAAGAAGGTCCTGGGTTCAATCCCCGGTTAGACCTGGGGTCTTTCTGTGTGGAGTTTGCATGTTCTTCTCGTGCTTGCGTGGGTTTTCTCCAGGTGCTCCAGTTTCCTCCCACAGATTAAAAACATGCATGTTAGGCTGCTTCAGGCTCAGGCCTCCCTTGAAAAAGAGATTTGTGATCTCAATGGGATTTGCCTGGTTAAATAAAAGGTTAATAATTTAAAAAATAATAATAATAATAATAAAATTTTGTTTGGAATTTTAATAAATGCTTTAAGTAATTACTATATGTCTGTTAGAAAATATCTCATTAAGCACAGGACACTTTTCAATGAAACTTTCAGGAAATTATTTAAGGATGCACGATATTGGATTTTTGGCCGCTATCCGATATGCCGATACGTAGGCCTGTCGCGATTAATCGTATGATAAATGAAAATTATCAAACTCATTTTCATTTATTGGTTTTATCGGTTCTTCGTGTCTCTTTCTACTGAAGACAATGGATGACAAAAAGCTCAACTCTGCTCTTCAATACCCCCCCCCCACCACCACCACCCACCCATACAAACACACACGCACGCACGCACGCACGCACGCACGCACGCACGCACGCACGCACGCACACACACACACACACACACACACACACACACACACACTTTTCTCATTAAAATCTGTTTTAACCGTTCAAAATCGCATTTTTGGATCGTTAAAAGCAGCTAAGCTGCGAAGCTACGCTACGGGCTAAGCTAACAGGTTGACTTCGGGAAAAAACCTTTATCTTGTCAAAACTCAGTCCAAAATTCACAGTTGAAACCTGTGCCTTCGTCCAAAAAGCTGTTAATCTAAAGAGCTCAAACCACACAGAACGTCTGCCATTTTGAGAAGTGAAAACAGGAACGAGAGACAGCCCATGTCACGTCAAGGGGCCTCCCTCCCATTTTTCTTAAAGAGACACACTGCTCCTCCCTCACTATTCATCCTTGGTTCAAACAGTCTTATACTGCCATCTGGTGGTCAAAAAAGGCACTACACACAAAAATTAACCAACATTTCTTCTTAAATTTGACAATTATTAAATATTGTCAAATTTCACACAATATTATCGTTTATTGCAATAATTTCTGAGACAATTAATCGCCCAGCAAAATTTGTTATCGTGACAGGTCTTCCGATAAGTTAAAACTTATTTGTCCAATAACCAATACCGATACAGATACCATGCGGAAAACATCGTGCATCCCTAAAATTATTATTTAATGTGCATCTACATCTGATAAATCCAACTGTTCGCCACCTGCCCTTAAAAAAAACAACCCAAAATGCTACTAATCTGTCAGTTTTACAGATACTGAGCTAAAGTTTAGTGTGGTAGTAGCTGAGAGTGATTCACAACACATACCAGTACTTTAAAAGCAAGATCTCTGCTAAAACATTTAGAATAAACTTTTGGATCTGGACCATCAACTTGAACTCACTGTTAGCAAAAAATGCCATGACTCACTCACCAGATATGGGGGAGTGGTGGCGCAGAGGTTAGAGAGGTGGGCTTGTGATCCGAAGATCGCCGGTTCACGCCCCGGCCCCGACAACATCAAAATTGTGGGTGGGGTAGGTGAAACACCCACACCTGCCCCCACCCTCATTCGCCCCACTCTGGGCCCATGAGCAAGGCCCTTAACCCCCACCATGTGCTCCCTAAACAGGTCTCTCTTGAAAATGAGTTCTCGTGGCTCAATGAGACTAACCTGGATAAATAAAGGATAAATGAAAATGAAAAATAAACTACTCATTTGATGAACATCCACAGCTGATTAGGTTTTGGAATCAATCAAAGTCAAGATGGCTGCCAAACATAAATGAAATTAGCCAACAGAAAAATGTCTATAATGTAGTTGATTCTACAGATATTTATTTTTATGTGTCTTCTTTCAGCTGCTCCCTTCTTCAGGGGTCACCACAGGGAACTAACTCACAAGAAGACTTGATTATTTTTACACCGAATGCCGTTCCTGATGCAACCACAGCCCACCGAGCTACCACAGCCCTCTGTGTGGAGCAGAGAGCTGCTATAGCAGACGGTGCGGGTTAAGGGCCTTGCTCAAGGGCCCACAGTGGGGCAACTGAGGGTGGAAGCAGGCGTGGGTGTTTCACCTTTTCCACTCACATTTTTGATGTCGGTCTGGCAAAGTTGAACCAGTGACCACCCAGTCACAGACCCACCTTCTCTAGCCTCTGCACCAGCACTCTCCTCCTTAGATATCGAGCCAAGGTTTAATGTGAGAGTTATTCTCCATGTATAATCTCAGTGTGACATGAGATTGCACATAATGCTATTTTCAAGGGTTGACCAAAACAGGGACAAAATATCTTAGACCTAATCTTTGGGCTGAAAAGTGGTGGGCAATATGCATTATTCATAAAATGCCTTTAACTAACTGGAGTTTCCACCTTTGAATATAACAGACATTGTGTAATGTTCTTTGATAAACACAAGGGGCCAGTGCTGGGCTGCAGCTAATCCAAAGGCCCCAGCTCCAGAAATCCCTGTCATAAGACAAGAAGTTCAGCCAAGAAAGAACATGTCCACATTGTTAGCTCATGGCTCATCCAAATCCCAGAACTGGCTTCGACATCAGTTACAGAAAAGACAAAAAGCAGAAGAGGAAGGTGCTGGTGACCAAGCCGCAGAGCCAACATGTACAATCACAGTGAAAAAGGTCAAGTGGGTCCAAGCCCCTTCAACAGCCATTTCTTGTTAAATAATAACTCGAAGCACCTCGATTTCATGGCATAAGGTTCAGAGGAGTGAGTCACGCTGACAGAACCTGAAGAGGGAACGAAAACCGCGTTCAAGAAATAGTGTTTGAGAATCACAACAGTTCCAAGTCTCTGCAGCTTCTTGGAATCGAGCAGGAACACCTGCGAGTTTTCAAAGGCACGACAGCTCTGGCTGCTCGGACAGAGAGAGGAGCTGCTGGGAACAAGACGGCGTGACAGAAAATCCACAGTCAGCGGAACGTTCATTCAAGAAGACGCTGGTTCGGCCTGATTAGAAGACTTTCTATACACTGTACTTACAGCTGCGACAAGTCAAAAACTGTAAACTGTATAAATCACATTGTTTGGCTCTTAAATTCTTCTCTTTATGTCCAACAGACAAAAGGACCAAAGCAACACAGAATAAGAAAAAAACAAGTTTAAGAAAACCCAACAAAGTTCAGTCAGGTCATCTGGACCGTGTCTTTTTTTTTTTTTGTTGAGCTGTTTCGTCCTCCATCCAAAGTACTTCATCAGTCCGAGGAGCCACACACAAACTGTGTCCCACAAATAGCACATTCACATAGTGGACCAACCAGTTTGCTGGTGATAAGATGGTTTCTGGGGGCCGCCCTCTCCCCCATCGACTCCTCTGCGGCAGCCATAGCCAAAGTGGTTCAAAACATCAAAGTCCATGCTCAATAATCCAGGTAAAAAATCCAACAATGTTAAGTCAGGTCATCTGGATGGTTTCTGATTTGGCAGTTTGTTACTTCTCAGATTAATGAAGTCCTTTGGATCAAGGACGAAACGTCTTTCAACCAGAAAAAGAAACCGTTCACAGGACTTGACTGAACGTTGTGGGATGTTTGTACCTGGATTACTGAGCATGAACCTTGAAGTTGAGGAAGAGTTTAATTAAATTCATTGAACTAATCAAATATTTACTGTCAACACAGTTTTATAACTCCATGATTCATGATTAAAAACAGGTTTTTTTTATGCTAACTTTCCATTTCAGACGTGCTTAAAAAATATAAC